ATGGTTATTACCCATCAACACGGTTCCACCATCAATGCTTCTATAGGCAGTAAACCACTTCCTATTTGGCCACATATGGTAAGAGCATCCAGAGTCAAGAATCCACTTACCGGAGGTTTCTTCATCACAAGAGATGGTGTAGCACTCATCGCTTTCCCCTCCCGAGGCATAGCTTACCTCTTGCTTGACTTGCACTTTTTCGTTGTTGTTGTTCTTGTTGTTCTTCTTCCAACCCTTTTTGTTATGATAATTCGCCTTGAAATGCCCAAGCTCGTCGCATTTGAAACAAGACCTTTCCGCAAGAGGTCTAGAACTCAATCTAGATTTTTCTCTCTTGCCCTTTGGTCGCACATTGCTTCTACCCCTTACAAAAAATCCTTGAACTTGCTCCTTGTTACCAATGGTAGACATGACACTAGTTGCAATCTTTCGAAGATCATCCGCTAGAAGTGACGTTCTAGTGTCCTCCATCACAAGTTTATCACCCACAAGCATCAATGTTTGTACTAGGTTCTCGTAAGACATTGGCAATGAAAGAAGTAGTAGAATTGCTTGATCCTCATCATCTACTTCCACATCAACGTCCTTCAAGTCCGATATGATCCTATCAAACTTGTTTACGTACTCCCGGATTGGTGTACCTTCATCCATCTTGCAAGTATACAATTTGGATTTCAAATAGATCCGATTTGTTAGAGTCTTCATCATGAAGTTCGCCTCCAACTTTGTCCACACCTCCGCCGCCGTTACCTCACTATCAACCAAGAAAGCAACATCTCTTTCAAGGCAAAGAATGATAGACGTTCGTGCCTCAAGATCTAGCTCTTCCCAATCCTCGTCCGACATATCAACGGGTTTCTTCTCCTTTCCCGCCAATGCCTTGTGCAACTTTTGAGAAATCAACAAATTTTTCATTTGCATTCTCCAATATGAAAAATCATTCTTCCTATTGAATTTCTCTATCTCATACTTTCCAATCTTCACCATTCCTCTAGTAGACATGATTTATTCACTTGTTTACCGAAAATAAACCACAAAAGTTCACTTGGAAATTTTCACAAACACCTTGTGTGCACAACAAAGTTCAAGCGACTCACCAAAAATCGAAGCTTAACCACCTTGATTTAGGAAGAAACTCTGATACCAAATTGTTGGGAAAATACCTCTCAAAGATAGCCCAAAGATCATACAATGCTTGACAATGTGAAAAAAAAATCCAAACCACTTGAAGAACAAAAAAATGAGGAAGAAATGATTTCAATGGAATATATGAAGAACAATGTATTTGGATTACTTGAACAAGCCTCAAGTTAATCCCCAAGAAAGAAAATAACTTTGAATTTATACCCAAGATGAACAACCTTCAATCTTGTAAAATTCTCTCCAAGTTTTCTCTCAATTTTCTATCTAAAATCAGGCTCAAGGGTTATATCATAATGAAGAGGCAAAAATTGGAAGTCTATATATATATACCAGGGCGCCTAGGCGCCAGGTTTCTACCGTGGCTCCTAGGCGCAGAAACTGGGCAGCGCCTAGGCGCTGCTTCCTCTTCACAGCTTCTTCTTCAGCTCCTCTTCTCACAATTTTAGTGACCAATAAAAAATATGGACCTAATTTCAATGACTATTGGAACAATTAACTCGTAAAATAACAATCAATAACCTCATAGGGACAAGAAGATGAGCACAAAATTTTATGCAACAATTACCAAATTCCGAAATTGCCAGTCGAATGAAAAGATCCGAGCCTTCAGAGAATTTCTGAATGTTAATTAAGCTTCCAGTCCAGAACAGACAGCCAATACCAACGTCGTGAACATAGGCTATGCAGGAACAATTCGTCATGCACAGACCTTCACATTCAGATTCCTGAACAGGCTCCCGATCTCCATTATCTGGAACATTCATCATTTCTAGCTTCAAAAACCTATCTTCTTTGCTCCCACTATTGGAGCTATTGTTTGTTTCACACTGCAAATGTATCCTCCTCACGCATCCACTTGTCCAGTTCTCTGCTTTCCATTCCCCATCGTCCTTCGGATAAAACCCTTTCAAACAGGTACAAATAGGTGAGTTTTGTGGGTCGCACATCCCAAATGGCCCACATGTGCCATTACCACAAGAAGTAGTAGCCTTCTCAACTATGGTAATACTGCGACTTATTTTCATTGCTGTCAAGAATGAGCCCCAAGGTTGCTTAAAACTTTCCCATATTTTAAGTCCACTCGAAGATTCTATCAAAACAAGATTTCCAGAATCCAATAGCTGGGCAGTCGTATTCATCTTAGTATTTTTAACATTTGATGACCAAAGAATTTCGTTGTCCCTATTCATAACCACAATATTCCCATCTTTATATATCTTCACAGTACCAGAAGAATCATTCAAAGCTTTATCCCTATTCGCTACCCACACCACAGAAGGTTCAGAAATATTTTGGTTATACCAAATACCTAAATAACGCCTGGAGTTATTAAAAGGACTGAAAAATCCCAATTTGAAGTGCTTACCCTTAGACACTAGAGTTTCAGGGTCTTTAATAACTAGATTTGCTGTAATGTTGTCTCTTGATGTGCAAAATCTTAAAGGGCAAGAGAAAAGCACAACAAGAATGCATAGAACAAGAGAATTCAGACTCTTACCCCTGATCATGATCAAGCCAATGATTCTTGATTCTTGCTCTGATGAATCGATTTCTGATTACCAAGAGCAGAGAAATTATCCACTATTCAGTTTTGAGGGTCTAGCAGAGTTAGATAAATTGGCAGAGTTTCTGTACAGAAAGAGGTAGTTATATATTTCTAAAACTCATTAACAATAAATTAAAAATAATGACACTAATAATAACTGAAGAATTACCTAAAGAAATAAAGGAACAAATATTAGAAAAATTAATAATAGAATCAATAAAAGAAAAATATATATATGAGAAAATTATTGATATATATTTAGATGAAGAAATTAATTTATATTATAAAGAAATAAAAGTACGAGTACAAGCGATAATACACATCAAAAATTAAATATATTACTTTTAAAAATGAATAATTTACAAGAAGAAATAGGAAATATAATGTTAATACTAGAAGGAATGAGAATACCAAATAATAGACAATTAGCAAGATTAAAATGTGAAAGACTAATACTTGAAAGCAGATATTTTACTATAGTAAAAGAAGAATTAGTTGATCCAGAGATAGTTGAGAAAAGATTTAGAAAAATAATAGATAAAAATGAAGATAAAAGATGCAAATTAACGTATGAGTTAGAAATAAGAAAAATTAAGATGTCAATAAGTGAATATATGGAAGAATTAAAATCATTAATAAAAATATTAATAAATGATGCACTACAACAAGTAATCGATTTCGCGACAAAAAAATGTTGTCTCAAAAAATGAGATTTTGTCACAAAAGTAATTTAGCGACGATAATACGTTTGTTGCAGATTTTGTGGCTCTATATGAGTCACGCAATGTGTTCTGCGACACCTTTCGATAGTTCATCGCATTAACAAAATCACTACACTATTTGTCTGACGCAGAAAATACGAAATGGCGTCACAATATTTGTAGCCATATTGTCGTCGTAATGTATATATGTCGCAAATAATTTAAAGGGCGACAAGTTAGTTTGTCACAACGAATATTCCAATAAAGTTTTTACGAGAAATATTTTTGTTGCGAATGTTGAGTCACCGAATATATTTTGAGACAACTTTCAATCATTCATCGCATTAACAAAATTGCAACATTACTCATTTGCTGCAGAAAATATGAAACAACAACATGATAGTTATAATTATAATATTGTCGCAATGCGTATATGTCGCGAAAAAATAAAAGGGCAACGTGATAGTTCGTTGCGATGATTATTCCAATAAAGTTTTTACGAGAAAAATATTTGTTGCAAATATTCTTTTAAATGTGTCACTTTTGCTACCTATTTTGTTTTGCAACACCACCTGCACGCAGTAATATATTTTCAATAACAAGTAATATTTATCGTGAAATATGTTTTACAATGTATTTGATATGTCGCAAAATGTATTTTAATATATTCAATATTTGTAGTACAATATTTTATGTAACAAGTGATTTATGTATTTAAATATATATTGCAACACAAATGGTCCGTTGGACCATCATTTGTACAATGAGTATAGTTGTTGCCAAACTTATTTCGTAATTATTCATATATGTCATATATTTTATTTAATGACATATAATATTATTACGCAAAGTATTTTGTGACAATGAACTATTTATATGTCAAGTTGTGCTCGTAGTTAAATTTAGTCAGCAACACAAAGGGTTTGTCGCTTCAACGATGTACAAATGTCGCCTAATTGATTTTATTTTTATTTATCTATGTCGGAGATTCTATTTTAAACACACAATTTTCGATTTCTTTCATCACAATGGAATCGTTATTGTTGTGCACATTTATATGAAAATATAACATAACTAGAAATAACTAGTGACTTTATGTAGAGCACACTTCAACATATAATTATTAAAATATAATTGATATAAAAAAAAGAAATAAAAAAAATCATATCACTATCAACCAAATAAATATAGATCAAGGTATTATCTACAAACTTGGTTACCTCCAAAATCAAAACAAATACAAATAAACTATAGTACTAGTAATTTGAAGGTCGAGCCACTTTCAATGATTTGACAAACTTGAAAATTAAAAAATAGAACTAGGAATGTGGAAGAAATAACAAAAAAACTCACGTGACACCCAAATAACATTCTTGACTCAATATACGCTTCCAACTCTCTTTGGTTAAATGAAAATTCCTGTAAAGAAAAGCTCCACAAATTTAGTCTAACAGGTACATATAGAAAGTAATTAATGAAATATTAGCTTCAAAAAAACATTTCAAATATCTTACATTGAATATTAGAACAAGATCAACAACCATCACAATAAGTAATCAATATATTTCAGTAGCTGACTACTCTAACCTTAAATGTGAATAAAATTATTTTCAACTCTCAGATGATACATCATCAGTACTCGAATCTATAGAGGGAAGGAAAAAATGTAGATAGTCATTAAGAAAAAGAAAAGAAAAACATTACGCCAAAAAAAAGGCTTATATATATATAAAGAATGTTTTACTTACCAATATCACTATCACCATCACCGTCATCATCTTTACCATCTATAGATTTCTCATCTTCACTGTAATATTCATTCAATGTATCATCTTCCTCTTCCGAAGTATCATATATAACATTATTCATATTTTTATTTATTGTTTCCACATCTATTTGTAATGCTTCATTTTCAATAATATCTAGATCAATATCTCCTCTATGGCACACTTGAGTGCCAAGATCTTCCTGCTGTATTGGCAAGACAATATTTGATGATTCATTTTCCTGAAATATTACTTGCTCACTACTGCCATCATTTTTTTCTGGAATGTCCCATATGCCTCTATGTTGTACCTTTTCCACTACCTTCCACTGTGGACCCAACAAAAGATCATCCATATAAAATATTTGTTGTGCTTGGATGCCAAGTATATAGGAATCATCCATGTACCATTTACGATTCACATTGATAGAAGTAAGATGGTAATCTATGATTGTTCTTTTTTGCTTTGGATTATTATCGTACCAATTACACTGGAACAAAGTGACGCGGTAGTCGAAAACGTATACCAACTCAATAACATCACACAGTATACCAAAAAAGTTGGTGTTATCATCTCTCGGAACCATTGCTCCACTATTTTGCGTTGTACGGCAATCATCTTGATCTTTAACAAGGAATCTTACCCCATTAACAATACAACCAGAATAAGAAAATATTCTAAAATCTGGTTTACATGCTAATGCATACAATTCTTTGCATACAACCGAATCTTTTTTATTATATAATCTCGTTATCTGTGTAATAAAAACATATTAATTAATATACCTTCTGATACGAATGTTATGTTGCATTAATAAATAGATAAGATATATATTATAACTTACATGTGAAGCAAACCATCCAGGAAACAATTCTTCTTGTTTTTTTTCCAAATTGTCATGATTTTGTTGTTCCAATAACTCCATGTGCTCACTACAAAAAGAACATGCAATTAAATACTATAACATATTAGTAATTAATAGCAAACATTTTAAAAGTTGATTAAGAACTTACTCTAAATATTGTCGAATTTCATCACAATTATTTAGGACATGCCAATGCGCTCTATCAATTTCTTGTTTTGAAAGTAACTTTGGTTCTGCATGACCTAATAGCCTAGTATTTTGAGAGAAGACTGACAAGCTTGTAGATGTAGTCCCACCATTGTCATTGCGCTCAGGTTGATTAAATCTTGTTTCAATGTTATTGAGATACATCGAGCAAAAATTTAAAGACTCGTTAACAATAGATGCTTCAGCAATTGATCCTTCGAGTCGAGCTTTATTCTTAACATAACTCTTATATCGACCTAATATTTTGTCATCAAATATTACATGAAAAGTTTTTGAAAACAATAATTCAATGAACAAGTATATATGCAAGAAATATTATCAATTACCTTTCAATTGGATACATCCATCTAAATGCAACGGGACCTCCAAGTTTTGCTTCTTCAGGTAGGTAAACAGCTAAATGAACCATTACATCAAAAAATGCCGGTGGGAAAATTCGTTCTAGTTTACATAAAATTATAACAGTCCCTTCTTCCAATTTCTCTAAATCATTTATATTCAATGTTCTTGAACATATTTGTTTAAAAAAACAACAAAGCTCTACAATTGCAGTACAAACCTCCTTTCGCAAAAATTTTCGAATAACAATGGGAAGAAGTTGTTGCAACAACACATGACAATTGTGAGTTTTCAAACCTAAAATTTTGCCTTCATTTTCTCGAACACATTTAGAAATATTTAATGCATATCCATCAGGAAACTTCACAGATTTCAAGAACTTACAAAAGATTTTTTTCCCCTAACGTTAATGTGTAAAAAGCATGAGGTTTCAAAAATCCATTACCATGTGGTTTTAAATGCAATTCTTTTCTAATGTTCATATCTTGCAAATCCAATCTAGCCTTATCTGTATCTTTTGTCTTCCCTTCAACATTCAACAATGTTCCAACAATATTATCGCACACATTCTTCTCAATATGTATTACATCTGAATTGTGTCTTAGTTTCAATTTAGACCAATACTCCAACTCGAAGAAAATGCTTTTTCTTGTCCAGTTTATCTCATTTGGAGTTCGTTTCCTTTTCCTATCTTTATTACTTGTGTGCTTTCCAGGTTTTCCACACCTCAGAGCCAGTAATTGCTTTAAAATATCATCTCCTGATAATTTTTTGGGTGGTGGTCGTAGTTCCCATTTAACATCATGTAATTTACTTTTTCTCCAGGGATGGTTTAGTGGCAAATAATGTCGATGACCCATAAAGCATATTTTAGTACGTAACCTATTCGAAGAAGTATTTTCATTACATATTGGACAAGCTTTGTATCCCATAGTGCTCTATCCCGATAGATTTCCACAAGCAGGCAAATCATTAATGGTCCACATTATAGCAGCACGCATAGAAAACATTTGACCACTATAAGCATCAAACGTGTCAACACCAACTTCCCATAATTCTTTCAACTCATATACTAGTGGTCTCAAATAAACATCAATATCTCTTCCTGGTGCATGTGGCCCTGGAATTAGCAATGACATCATAATAACAGGTTCTTTCATGCACTTCCACGGTGGCATATTGTATTGTACTAGAACAACAGGCCACATGCTGTAGGAATTATGCATGTTTCCAAATGGATTGAAGCCATCTGTTGCAAGACCTAACCTAACATTACGAGGATCTTGCATAAATTCTGGGTATAACTTGTCAAATTCTTTCCATGCCTCACCATCAGCGGGATGTCTTAAAACACCTTCTACTTCAACTCGGCCTTCTACATGCCATCTCATATCTTTAGCAGTATGTCTGGATATGAATAATCTCTGTAATCTTTTTTTCAATGGAAAATATCTCAATACATTTTGAGGCACCTTCTTTCCCTTTCCAAAATTAGGTTTGTATTGTGGTTCATCACATTTCGAGCACCTACTGGCAAATTCACGCTCTTTCCAAAATAATACACAATCATGCTTGCATGCATGAATAGTTTCATAACCCAATCCCAATTCACTTAACATTTTCTTGGCATCATATGTCGAAGTTGGTAATCCAATATCTTCTGGAAAAACCTTTTTTAGTAATTCCAATAACATGTTAAAAGATTTGTTACTCCACTAATTCAAAACTTTTATATGCATTAACTTCACCATAAAGTTCAATAATGACATTTCTGAGCTAGGAAACAAAGCTCGTTGGGCTTCAGTTATCATCTCCACAAATTGGTTGCTCTCTTCATTAGGCCTTCGAGGCGAAAAATTATGATTTCCACCATGTTCTTCCTCCTCCCAAGTTTGGTTAGCTTTAGATGACATGGGAGCACATAGATCGTCTAACATATCATTCATCTCATCAACATTTTCTTCTTCGTCCAATTCAAATGTATTTCTTACAACACCCTCTATATTATTCTCAAGTTCCTCTCCATGAAAAATCCATCTCTCATAACTTACAGAGATTCCAAAGTGGTATAAGTGAGATTCTACCACATCTAGTGACTAAAAGAATGCATTTTGACAATTTCGACATGGACAACGAACCTTATTGTTCTCATCCAGACATTGTTTTGCTACCTCCATAAATGAATTAATACCATCTAAATATTCTTCACTTAATCTATTACGAAGTCGCATCCAACTCCTATATCCATCATGTATATCACTTGCCTAGACCATAAAGGATATGTAGTTAATAATTTTTAGAAAAATAACAAATATACAACTCAGCAATAATAATAGCAGTTTGGCAGAAAAATAGCAAGTATTCAGGTTTCTGGAAGAAGTAGCATACCATATATCTTTAGGACAAACAATTATTGTAGATAAGTGAACAAAAAGAAGAGTAAGATGCTAGAAGTAATAGGAATCTAACTCCTGTTTGGAAAATGACTTACCTCTCTCCAATTTGCAGGCAAACATTTTGAAGATTTAAAAAGTTTATGATGCATTTTTAGCTGAATTTCCATTATGTTATGGTTATTGGAAGAAATATGCTGATCATGAGGCACGCCTTAGCTCGGTCGACAAAGTTGCAGAGGTTTATGAAAGAGCTGTTCAAGGAGTTACATACTCTGTTGACATGTGGTTGCACTACTGTGTTTTTGCCATTAGTACCTATGGGGATCCTGACACTATCAGAAGGTAATTCTCCTTGTTTGTTTTCTTATTTTTGGCCTTTGTGTGTGTGTTTGTCCTCTATTTCTTTATTTTAATAGCGTTGAAGTGATCTTATGTTTCTTTCTAACGCAATTAAACATTTAACAATAGTGATTACTGACATGTAAGGCGAAAAGGTTTGTTACAGAATTCAATTCAGACAGATAGTTGTATGATGTGAAAACCTTGGTTTTGGTGCTACTATATTAGTAGCCATCTGGGTTTATACACGGCCTCATCACCCCTTCAGTTGTACTTAGGGTTATGTTGTTCGTGTAATTTTTCATGAAGTTTTGCCTTTTTAACCATGGCACCTGAGGAGCATCAATAAATGATGGTCTGTAAGGATTCTGTAAGATTATGTTGAGGAAGGTAAATGCAGTGTATTGGTGCCTTTGTTTGGAATTGTTTGAGTCTATCTTTGAGATACTAGTCCTCTTGTATGCATTTATACATGACTGAATGACCTACATGCCTATTGGATTTCATAATCGTTAATCTGGCTGTTTTTCAGGCTATTTGAAAGAGGATTAGCTTATGTTGGAACTGATTACCAGTGCTTTCCACTTTGGGATAAATACATCGAGTATGAAATTTCTCAGCAAGATTGGCCATGTGTTGCCAAAATTTACACACGGTTATTGGAGATCCCGAATCAGCAACTAGATCGCTATTTTGAAGGGTAATTTTCTGGCTTAATTGTCAAAATTTTCATTGATGATCGTGCTTTCCTTTTTTCCTGCTTTTCAAATATCGTACTGGCTTGGTGGTTGCGGTTTGAAGGAAGATGATTTGCTTGTCAATTCATCTTTTTATTCCAGTCTGCATGTATGCCTTGGAGGCAGCAATTTATATTGTCTCGTGCCACTTTTAACTATACATTACTAGCAAGAGTAGGTCGGTATCTTTGGTAGTCTGATTTGAACTCTGTTGGATATGCCACTGGTATTTCCTTACTTAACCCATATTATTGTTCTGATGAACGAGGAATTTGTTGCTATGTGCTGTGATTCCAGTTCTAGGATGGGCATTAACCTTATAACACTTCTCTGTCAATCTATTCAGTTGTTCATTGTTTAAAGACAAAAACTTAAGAAGTCCATCTCACTATATCTGCAACTGCAAATGTTCTGAAGAAAATTTTTCGGTTTTGTTTCCCTTTGTTGTATTCCTACATTTAAGTTTTTGTCTCGCTGACCCAGAAGAAAAAAGGGAGAAATGGGTTGAGGGAAAGGGATAAATCCTCCATTTTTGTTGTTATTGAAGAGTGACCACTCATTGCATGTCTTGGCCACTACTCAACCATCTAGTTATGCTTTTATCTTCTCCTAGAACAGACTGCTTTAGTTGAATGATTTATTATTTGCGTAGTATACATCTAATTGGTATTAGTTTCTTTAAACCGTTATCTTGTTTATATGTCTTCTCATTTTAGATACATCATTTTAGTTTGTCACATATTGTTACAGATTTAAGGAGTTAGTAGCCAGTCGGCCTCTATCAGAGTTGCGACTCCTGAGGAAGCTGCTGCTACAAATTCAGAAGCTGATGATCAAAATGCTGAAGGAGAAGATCCTGCAAATGGTGCAGAACAGACTTCCTTTCAACACATCTTGTTACTAATTTTGCAAAACAATGTGGCTACAGTTCCTATTATTCATTCACCTTCAGAGGATGGATTATACTCGTAGCTACTACATCTAGCTGCTCTTTCCGCCGTACTAAAATGTAAGGAACATAATCACACAATCTTATATGTGTAGACTTAATATTTTTTGGTACCCTATATAGACTTAATATTTTTTAGTTATTGCCAGCACTTTCCAAATGCTAATTTCTGAAATCCCTGTTGGAATTTGGGTTCCCAGAATTGAAGAGCCAAATGTTCAACCATTGGCTGTGTTGAGGCTGAGTGCTTCCCTTAGTGATGCATTGAACTTGTTAACTCAAGGTGTACATTTAATTCATTGGAGAGTTGCATACCCAAATTCCTTTTCCAGAAATTCTTAATAACTGCCAGCATTTTCTTGTATTTGTTTACTATTATATTCCTAAATTCAATGCTCTCTGTGTACACCTATGTATTTATACAGTATTTATCCAAAATATGGTTAACTCATATTTATCTAACTATATGAAATTCAAGAATTCAGTTTCCTGAAACCTCAAGAATTCAATTTCTCGAAACCTCAGGAATTCAAGAATTTAATTTCCAATGTCAAGAATTTTAAATACGTTTGTTTTTGTTAAAATAATGTCCAAATCAAATTGATTCCATTCGAATTGGTCCAAGGCCCTTTAAAATAATGTTTGTTATTAAGGCCCAATTTTCTCAAATAATGCATTTTAATGCCGATGTTCATTTATGCTTTACAGTCTTGATCCTCTTCAAATACTAATTTGTAGAATTTAAACATAATGATTTTTTTTTAAATAGAAGTCAATTAGCGGTCATAAGTACATAATGATGAAAAATAAAATCAAATTGCTTGGAATGCCTATGTCCATAAGAAATTTCAGAGCTACTCGTTATGAGTAATAGAACTCTACACAAAGTTTTCCCCCATTATGAAAATGACGAAGAAACGTAACTTCAATTCTTTCAGAATCTTTAATCTATCCCATTTTTGACAAAGACAATTGGCATTTCATATGAAAGTGCAGCCCATTGCTACTCCTTTGTCCAGGCCTAGATAGAGTTTACATAAAATTAATTTTAATTCAAAATTACCCACCAAGTAAATGAAAATATAGAAAATATGGATATGTATATATCTATTTCCAATTCACAACTCCTCTCCTCACGTTTCCTTCTTGATGAGGTTCGTGTGGAAGAATAAGCACTTGCATATTTGGAACACTTGGATTGTCGGTGTTCGAAGAATTGAGCGTAACTTTTGCATATGGTGTCCATTTTGGGCCTATAAGTACTTTTCGGAAAGGTAGTGACCATTTTGAATTGAACTCATAGTTTTGCTATGATGTATAAGGGATTTTGGCCGTTTGAGATCGTTTGTTGGGTCAAAATCGCGTTTCATATTTATTAGTTCATTTTTTTTAATATTTCTTATTTTTGCGCTGTAGCCCAGCCCATTTAGGGGCTGTTGGCCAGTAGTTTACCTAATTCTTTTCATATTTAAACCCCCCCAAAAAAAATGTGCTTGTTTTCTTGGTTGTTGAAGAAATAAAAAAGTTATTGTTTCTTGCATCAATCCGTAATGTTGGCATAAGCTAAGCACGATGCTTAGTAGAAAAATTGTAAATATGTATAGTTATGTACTTTGTATCATAAAATATTGTTGCCCTAGTTTGGACTCTTCTAGCAATGCAAAACAAGGAATTCAAGCGATGGGCTTGAATTCCTACATCAACTCTAATCATGTTAAGGCTATACCTAGGCTCGAACAACGGAGTAGCAATTGGTTGTCAGTTTCGTATGAAATGTCAATTGTCCATGTCAAAATAGGATAGATTAAAGATTCTGAAAGACCTGAAGTTATATCTCTTTGTCATCTTTATCACGGGAGAAAACTTTGCACAGAGTTTGAGGGGACAATTTCTTGGTGGGTAATTTTCAAGTACAACTTCTTCGAGTGTACCGTTTGAGGGCATGATCTACATTTTTAAATTAATAGAGTATGTATTTTCATGAATCGAGAGTAGCCAAATTTTCATGTACAATTTCTTCGAGTGTACTGTTTGAGGGCATGATCTACATTAATTTTAAATTAACTAGACCTATTTAATAGGCCTTAAATTACTATAGGTTCGTTTGTCTAAAAATAATAATAATAATAATAACTGGAACCGTAAGCTGTGCCTATCAAAGCCAGCACATGACAAAGATTCGAAATCAATGGGCTTGAGCACGTACTCTTGCAAAACATTATACATATCCTTTTCTCATAATAAAAATGGAAAAAAAAAACAAAAAACAAAATTTAATTAAATATTATTCAATTCATATTTTTAGACGAAATAAGTAATTGCCATACAAGAGTCTATAAAGATCTTGAGTTTGAAATTTGGGTAACATATATACGCCATGAAAACACATAAAATCTAATTAATATTTATTGAAAGAAATAGTTTTGCCAAACGGATTGCACGGGTTTTGAATTAATTTCTATAACCATTATTATAAGTAAGGTAACATATGTACGCCATTGATTTCTAAACATAAAAAACTATTATTTTATATATTTATTCTTTGGTTACAAAATTTTATCTTGAAAAGTTTCCCATAATTAAATTCCAACAAAAAGTCCACCTACTTTTTTTTGTTCAAAACAGTTCTATTAGTTGTAGATGATTTTCTTAGGATATAATCTTCTAATATATTTCTTTTTCTTTTTTGGGGGAGAGAAATATTCTGTTCCAATTTTATAAATATCTTTTCAAATATATTTGGACTCTATAAGAATCCTTTTATATAAATTTTACTTTTCTTTCCTAAGGGTAGCTAAATTAGTTGTGTACAAGATTTTGTTTTCAATTTTGGCTCTTGTATTTGGAGGGAAATTTTCAAGTTCCCACTCTTTTTTTCCCCCACTTTTCGTCAACATCTTTATCTTTTTATAAGATGTGTTTCTCATTTTTTAACTCTACATTCTCATTTTTTAGTACTCTGTAGACAAGGTATTTTCATTCAATCTCCAATCTAATGATTCTTTTTGTGTGTTTTCATTTTTTTTATTTTTGGTTTTTGAATCTAATATATTTGCATTTCTTGATTTCATGTTGATTCATTTCAAATTTCCATTGGTCGTTTGTCAAGGATTGCTGATATACGTATTCACAACCTAGGTATGTTTATATCCCTTTTTTTTCATCTAATGTTTTACAGAAATTCGTAGTTTTTGCTTGTTGTGGAGATTGTATAAATCTTTTGGTGTTCCCTTTTTTTTTTCTATTACATGCTTGGTGTTTTGTTTGCAATATAATTTAATTTACTAGAAAAATAAATATGTGAACTGAATATGAAAAACATTTTTCAAAAGGAACATAAAATTTATCATCATTATTAGTCACATATGAAGAATGTTTTTCCGTGAGTTTCAGATCCTAAATCTTCCGAAAATCCGGTTACAACCCGTTCAATTATGGATTGACCCGACCATTTCCAACTGGAAAGAGGAAGTAAATAATGTTTGCCTCTTTTTCTATGGAACCTTATCGACAACTGCTTTCTTTGACCTGTATATTATGTTTATTATGACTGTTTTACTATATCAATCTTTATAGATTCATAAAATTTAAGTTGGTCGCAATGCTTTGTCACCAAAATGTTGCCAATAACCTCTTAGATGGGCCTATACCAGATAATCTTAGCTCTTGTACAAATCTGAATAGCCTGTAAGCATCTGATGTAGTCTTGTGTTCTATTTTCATTTTTTATGAAATTTCACCTTGCTGGATTACTTGCTGAATGATTTGATGACAGTAATGTGCATGGTAACAAATTGAATGGAACTATTCCCCTTGTATTTCAGAAGCTGGAGAGCATGACGTATCTGTGAGCTCCTCGCACATCTGTGTTTAAAAAAACTTCGTTTGCATGTATTCGTTGTTGTGTATCTGGAGATTGATGTTCTCCAAGTATAAATTTTGTATTTCTTGATGTTGTATAGGAATCTATCCTCCAATGATATTAAGGGCCCCATTCCAATTGAACTTGCACGAATTCGAAATTTAGATACTTTGTAAGTATCTAAATTCAGATACTTACAACTATAATAGTGACATTATAGTTGTGCAAAACAAATTCAGATCTACTTGTTTGGTCGGATGAATTTTAATAGAGGGGGAAATAATGTCACTTCAATCCTCGTAGAGAGAACATTTTATTCTCCAAATACCCAAAAAGTAGCAATCTGTTATCTATCTTCCCTCCCACCCCCACCCACTAAAATAAGCTATTATTATCAATTTTGTCTCTTGGTAGACAATGGCTTTTCAAACAAGAATTGGCAATAATGGAGACACACTTTTTTGGTTAAAAATGATCTTTCTCTCTCTCTTTTTGGTTTTCCTTTGTAGATAATGGCTTCTCAAACAAGAATTGGCAAGAAAAATAGAGTTTTTACTACATCTTATTAGCCATCATCGGAGGTCTTCTCGTTAAAGGCATCATGCAAGGGTCCATTAACCCAAACTACTCTTCAAGCTAATATCTCTTCCTCATTGTCTAAGACTAGTAATGTTCAAGTTCCTACTCCATTATCTCGACCTCTCCGAGTTCCTGTCCCATTTTCTCAGTCCCAGCCTCAACTTAATTCATCACAAGCAACCACATTGACACATGAGAACATCCTCAATTCCAACGGTAATAATTAATCTTTATGTTTATGGTATAAAATCATCCTAATGTATATATTTAATTGATAGGATCTCATTTTTTGTTTTATATATTCTCATCATTTGAGCAATTTATTTCATAGATTCTCATTCTTTGAAGTGGAAGGGACGTGGTCCTACAAGAGGCAAGGGCACTGATGAAATCGTGAGTGCAGCTGGAAAAATATCATTGGAAATTTCTAAAAAGATGGGAAGAGCTATTGGAAATCAGCAAGCACGTTTGTCTAGTGAGTGTGGCTACGTCGTTCGATCATTTGCTCCACTTTGTTACAAAAGGTAGATTGACATATCCAATGAAAAGAAAAATAAATTATATGATCGAGTTTTGGTAAGTCATAAATTTTGTAGAATAGTTATTAGTTTCCCGTACTTAAATAAATATTATACACATTTCATTTTTGGTAGGCAAAATTCAAGCTTGATTTGACAGTTCAGCATGTCCATAAATGTGTGAACGATACTTTAGCGAGAAGATATCATGATTATAGATGTAGACTCAAAGAGAAATATTTCAATGGAAAAACATTAGATGATGCAATGAAGAATTGTCCAACTGACATAAAGCAAGATGATTGGGACTGGTTGTGTCAATATTGGTCTACTCCTGAATTTCAGGTAACTTTTATTAAAAATACAGATACTTGTAAATATTTAGAATAACGTAATTTAGATGTTATCTTAATAGAATTAAAAATGATAAATTATAATAAGGAGTTAATTATATTTATATATAATTAATTGCAGGCACTATCTACATGCAATTTAGCTAGCCACTACTACATTAAATATAATCATCGTAGTGGATCAAAATCATTTGTTGCACGCCTTGACGAAAATGTGATATTTTCTTTTCTTTTATTAAAAAATAATAGATTTGTGTAACATGATATATATTATTTCAAACAGAGATCAATTACTAAAGACAACACACAAGGAGAAATAGAACTTTATTATGACACTCATTACAGTGAGAAGAAAGGGTGGGTAAACGATGAAGCACTAACAAGATATGTAAGTATATTAACAATTTATTCATTGTTATTGACATTTTATATATATTCTATTATTAACATATATTCCCTCTTCTTTCTCTTTACTCATATATAGGAGAGGATGCTTCAAATTAAAGAGCAACTTGTTCCAGAAGGATCTGAGGCCCCCACTGAACTTGAGATTTTGCAAGAAGTTTTAGGAAAATCTAGAGGTTACATTAGAGGACTTGGACATGGTCCAAAACCTGCCACAAGCTACTCTGCTCATTTGACATTGGTTGATATTGAATCAATAGCCCTTCGAGAGCAAATACAAAAGCAGGAGCAAGAACTATTGGATATGCGTGCCAGGCTTTCTCAAATTGAGGCACTAATGCATAAGTTCGTATCGAATCAAGTCGACATATCTCCACAACAAGCCGAACCAGCAACAATGTTTAGCATGCCAACGCCTACTAATAATATATGAACTATAATTTATTTATTTATTTGCTTTAATTGTTGAGACATTTATTTTTCTTTATGGATTGGTTCAGTCTAGTATTTCTATTTTTTATAAGTTATTATGTGATTGAAAGTTTAATAGTCTAATGCATTTTTCTTAAATTTTTTGGGAATAAATTTTTTTAGAAATTTTATACAGCTTTTATTATAAAAATTTTGTTCTTCATAAGAAATAATCAAAAAATTTAAAAATTTATATTACATATTAAAATTTAGCTAGACGAAAAAACAAACACTTATTACAAAAAAAGATAATAATAATAATAACAGTAGAAAAAAGTTACAAAATAAAATAAAAAAGACAGCAAGTAAATAATGTTACAAAATAAAATAAAATAAATGGATGAAGTACATCGTAAAAATTTTACAACAACGTATATTTGAGGATTTTTGCAGCATGCATTGCACGTTGCAGTATTCTTCAACTCTACGGAAATATTAGAGTCTACAATATATGGGTGAGCATTGTAAAAAATCAACTGCAATATCTTTTGTCTGTTGCAAAAAAATTATTTTCTTGTAGCCTTTTTTCCTCCAACTATAGAATTTTTAGCAACGAATATTTTTTTATCCCCAAAAGGAGACCCTATTGCATCACAAGCATTTTGTTGCAAGAAAGAAATGTTTGTTGCCATAAATTTCCCACCAAAAATATTTTGGCGCCTTACTTCCCTCATATTTTTGGCGACATTATTTATTATTTGTCGCAACTTCCCACATTTCACGACAACTTTTTATATCGTCTTATAATTTTTGATACTTATTTTTTTCATCACATTCTTTGTGACAAACTTTAAAAATGTGTCGCGTTAAATCACTTATTGCAAGAACTTTTTGTATGTCGCAAAAAAACTTATCGCGAAATCATAGTTTTGTTGTAGTGATGTAAAAGATTTGAGAAATGAAGTAAAAGAAATAAGAAACGATATAAATATATTAAAAATTGAGATTAGAGAATTAAAAGAAAATAATAAGAATAAAGATAAGAAAATAGATAAAAAAAACTTATAGAAAAAGAAATGACTCGGATAGGAAAGAAATATATAGAAAAAGAAAATATAGTAATAGAAACAGGAAGTATGGATGATGAATTTAGAAAATATATATTACCAAAGATATTAGAAAAAGAAGAAACTAGAGAAAAATCCTTAGGAAAATTAAATGTAGAAGAAAAAGAAGATAAATAAAGAGTTAGAATTGTTAATAGAAAATTTTGATCAATTAAGCTTAACTGATATAAGTGAATACCAAGTTTTAATGAATACTGGAGGAGGACTTAATCCAGCAGGAACCTCTAAACAGGAATTACATGATACAAATAAAAGTTATGCACCTATATATAATAAATCATATAGATAATTTTATGACAAAGTAAGAGATAGATAATCACCCAAAGGAAATAAATATCAGAATAGAATTGAACTAAATGATAATTATGATAAACCAATCAATCATGGAGGAACAAAACTAGATTTAAATTGCAAAATAGATACTAAAAAAGCCTTATTAACTTGGGTAGATTCGATGATATTATTCTTTTTATATAACAAAGATGATACATGGGAAAATACTGAAAGAAGAATAGATTTCTTAATAGCATCCTTTGAAGGAGATGTTAGAAATTGGTGGGAAGAAATAAGAAATGATACAAAAACATTAATAAAAAAAATGTACAAACAGAAATAATCAAATCAGATAGATAAGGTATAGAAAAATTAGTGGAATATATTTCAGATGAGTTTTTAGGAGAAAATTGGATAAGAAATGCTGACGAGGAATCAATAAGAGAAAAATATAATGCTAGAATAAAATTAATAAATTTAACAATATGTGATATGTGTAAAATTAAAGAATATACTTGTGAATTTAGAAATTACTATTATGTTCAATTTCATAGTAATGAGAATCAAGAAGTATACCAAGACATGTATTATAATAAGTTACCAGGTTCATGGGGAATATATTTTAAAATAAAATTTGAAAAATATGTTAGAGATAATACTGGAATACCTAGGACTTTAGGTTCAAGAATAAAATTTTTATTTGAAAGACTTGCATATATATGTCAACAATGGCAATTAATGAAAAAATCAGGAAAACTAACTAAAATATGTTGTGAAGATATGGAAAGTCCTGTGCAATGGAGATGTAATCTTGAAAAAAGAATTAATAAAAGAAAATATAAAAATAACAAATTTAGAAATTTTAATAAAAAATATATAAAACCTAAAAGAAGGTATTATAAAAGAAAAAATAACCCTTATAATCAACAGAAAAATAAGAATTATAAGAAAAATAAAAGCCAATGTAAATGTTGGAATTGTGGAGAGATAGATCATATAAGCCCTAATTGTGATAAAAAGAAAGTAAGAATATTACAAAAAGAATATTTAAAAATAAAAGATGAATTAAGTGAAATATCAAATATTGAAGAATATTATGATCAGTAAGTATATATAAGTGAAACAGAAAAAGATGGATCAGGATCCGAATAAAGAAATTGAAGAAATAGATGGTAATAATATAAATATACAAGAATATGAAAGAATAGAAAGATATGGATTAAAAGTCACTTTTGACAATAACGAGTTTAGAAAATTGCAAAAATTATCGTTAGACTTAAAAATAGGAAAATGAGAAGTCTTTGGTAGGATTTGGAAAAGAGAAAGAATAGCAATAAACGAATATCACAAAATAGAAAAAACCATAGATGTAAGAACAACTTATGGGCAACATAAATTAAATCTTTTAACAAGAAATACAATTGATGAACTATTAACAAAGATTAGTAAAAAACAAAGTGAAAAAATTCAATATGTTTATTTAGCAGGAATACAAATAATGTTTAAATCACTATTTAGAGAAGGGATAGACTCACCCTTAACTATAACTTTACATGATGGAAGAATAATAAATTTAAAAGATAGTCATTTAGGAACAATAGAAGGAAATTTAGCATATCAAAAAATTATGTTTACATGTTACCCAAAATATTGTGTATCATTGAAAGATAGAAACTTTAATTAAGTTTTAGGACTACATTTCAAGTTTCATAGAGATGATATTATGCAACCAGGTGATCAAATTATGACTATAGAATATAGAGTTTTATGCACATTTACTAATTCTAATTATGGGAATATTTATTCTAATAAACAATATATTGAAGTTCATAAAGAATGTAAAGATATTAGTAAAATAATAAAACCAAATAAACAAATAAGTTTAATTCCAGAAGAATATGAATTTAGCATAGCAAAAAATAAACCTGAAATAATAGAATTAAATGAAGGAGAATGTTCTAATAATATAACATTTAAAGATGGAAAATTAATCAAAAGATCAAAAAGTCTTAAAATGCCTAATAAAAACCAGTTAGAAGAAATCAAAAAAATAAAAGAAATAAAATTATATAGGAATGCTGGAAACATTAAAATAGAAGGAGAATATTATAATGGAAGAGAAAATATAAATGGACCAAATATATTAATAGATACAGGAGCCAGTGAATGTCATATAGCTTCGATTAGAAACAAATGACTAATAACTCATAAAATTGAACCATATAAGTATGTAAATTTTGATGGATAAGTACATATAACAGATTTAGAAGTTAAGGTACCAATAGAAATAGGAGGAATAGATCTCTTAGTACTATGTTATATAGATAGAAGTATGGATATAAACCCTCATATACTTTTAGGAATGAGTTTTCTAAATGGATTAGAAGATTATAGTATAAAAAGAGAAGGATTATATATTGTTCATAATGGACAGACTACATTATGTAAAAAATATTAGATGAATAATCAGATAAGTTTCCCATTAGCTGTGTATATACAAATTACTATTGCAAAAACAAATATAACAACTCGTGCTTTGATAGATACAGGAAGTGATATAACAATATTTAAATTTTTTTTAATAAAATCACGGAATAATAAATAGCAATATAAAAATAACTGGCGCTACTGGAGAAAGTACTCAAATAATTAATAGTGCTGATAAAGTTAATATAATTCTTGGAAGTAAACAAGTAATAATAAACAAAATTTATAAATACGATAAATTATAATGTGATATATTATTAGGAAATGATTTCATACAACAATTTCAATATTATAAACAGAATAATTATATGATAATGTTACAAACACTTTGTGGACACTTATTAAAAATTCCTAAAGAATTTAAACCTTATAGAGTTCAGTCAACCCAATGTGGTGATAAATGGGAGAAAAAATCAATTCTTAATAATGAAACAAAAAATAAAAGAATATTATATACGAAAGTTCTAAAGACAGGAATAGAAATGAATATAAAAAAAATCATTGAACAATTAGAAAAAGTTTATGGAGAAAATTCATTATTATTTTGGAAATCATATCACCCAAAAGTCAAAATAGAATTAACAGAAAACGTTATAATAAGAGTAAGACCAATGATTTATACAATAGAAGATACACAAGAGTTTAAAAAACAAATAAAAGAATTATTAGAACAAAAACTTATTAGACCTAGTAATGGACCTCATAGTAGTCCAGCCTTTATGTTATGAAACACTCTGAACAAATTAGAGGAAAAGCTAGAATGGTTATAAATTATAAAAAATTAAATAAATATACTAAATTTGATAGTTGCTTTCTACCAAATAAAGAAGTACTAATAAATATTGCAAGAGGAAAACAATACTATTTTAAATTTGATTGTAAATCAAGATTTTGGCAAGTAAAAATGGAAGAAGATAGTATACAATATACTGCATTTAGCACACCTCAAGGAAAATATGAATGGTTAGTTATGTCATTTGGTTTAAAAAATGCACCATAAATATATCAAAAAAAGATGGATAATATATTTAAAAAGTTTAATGAATTTCTAATAGTTTATATTGATGATATATTAATATGTTCTAATAATAAAGAACATAGAAATCATTTAATCCAATTTATTAATGAATGTAAAAAAGAAGGAATTGTACTATCTAAAAAGAA